GTTTTTCAACTGTTTCAGTCATATTAATTAAGTCTTTTTTTATTTTTTTAGGGTTTTAATTTTTTTATTTTTCAGTGTGGTATTGAAGAAAATAAAAAAGATAAAACACAATCAAGTCATTTCATATATCCCTTTAAATGTTGTACTCTTCGTCTTACTGCCTCTAGTTTACTTTCTTGAGAACCTAAGATATTAGTCATTATTTTTAATTTGAAAGATAAATAATAAACAAACAAAATCCTGCTTTTTCTAGACCAACATAAATTGGTATTTCTGATAAACACTCAAACGTTTTCTTATATCCCTTTGTTGCAATTGACCTAATGAGTAGTAGGTCTAAGACATATGTCCATCCTGGGTCATCTGTTCTTGGGAGTTCTGTCAATATTCCACGATTTAATTTCTCTTGGAAAAGATGAATAGCATTTATAAATTGAATTGTTTCAGCAAGTTCTTGTCGATACGTATTAATACAGTTTAAGTAGGATGAAGTTGCTTGATCAATTTGACTTTCAGTAAATACTTTTAACTCTGGGCATCTTTCAATAATACGATTCCTATTCGTGCCAACAGTTTGAACACAGTCTATGAGTTGTTTTGCATATCCAGAGCATGTTAAATTAAAGTCAGATGGTTTAGTTTTTTGACTTTCTTGCATGAAACTTTTAAAGATAGATTGGACTTGTTTCATTATCATTTCTTCTGTTATTTTTTTAGGTATTTGTTTAAGGTTTTCTGTTGAAGTTGTTTCAGTATTTTGGGATTGTGTCTCTGTATTTTCAAGAGAAGAATATGTTAAGGAATGTTTTTTATTTACCTGAGTCGTTCGTTTTAAGTCGTCAGTCTGATTTATTTTTAGATCTTTTGTCATGGAAGGTTTCTTACTATTACTTTCTTCTCTTGAAATTGAAAGACTCTTAGAGGTAGTGTCTTCTTCTTTTGGTTTTGAAGGTTTTTTTGTGGTAGTGTTTTGTTCTTGTGTAGTAGTAGAAAAATAATGTTCCATCTTTTGAAAGAATGTATTATGAGTATTAACATTCTCTTTAAGTTGGGAAATTTCAAATTTGATTTGGTCACTGTTATGTGATGTTCTTATATTAATTTCTTCTTTGAACTGGTTGACTAGAATAATCTTATTGAGATCTTCTTGTTTAGGGAATAATGTTTGAAATATTCCTGTATTAGAAGAGAAAGTGCAACAATTCATTTGAAAGGAATTCACAAAAGAGCCGAAGTCTTGGTTTAAACAAATATGTTGAGGTAAAGTAGATGAATCTTGTAGAATATTCAAATAAGAGTCAGAAGAGTAATTAGGAATAATTGTTGAATACAAAAATTGTGAACGGTCTAGTATTAAATGGACATAATATAAGGGTGTTGATGATGTACATTTATTGTTAATGAATTGCTCGGCTGTTGTATCTGAAAGGTCAAAAGATATTACAATATCAACAGAGTTTAATGAAAAAGTTAATGGAGTATCAACTGATATGATAATGTTTTGAATCAGATTTGAATTGAATTGGTTAATATTATGAATGTCATGAATTTTATTGGATACAATGGGAATATCAAATTGACTGAAAGCATAATAAATATCTGAGAAAGAAGGATATAAGATACAAACTCTTTTTGTTTTACATAAAGAACAAAAAATAGGTAAAAACACATCAATAGGAGAAAGAAGAGAGTTTGGTATAATTTGAGAAAATTGTGGATAATAAATTGAAGTTTTTAATTGTTTGAGTACAATTTCTTTTTGTGAAAATTTTATTGTTGAAGCGATCCATTTAATCATTTCATATTGTGATTCACTTAATGGTAAAAGTAATTTATGGTGAATGTTTTTCATTATCGAGATTACTTCAAGAGAATAACCCTGAGGAATAGGTTCAGGAGAATTTAACATAATAACAGGAGTTTCTAGAATAATTTCATTGAATGTCAATGAGTCAACAAATACAAAATCAAATTGGTTTAATAATTCAAGTCTAAGATCTGATGAATTACCAAAAACCGCCAAGTCTACATAAGGAATATTTGAACTATTGAATATTGATTCATAAATAATTTGAGTTTCATCTGATAAAGGGATTTGTGATGTTAGAGATGGCCAAAATGAAGAAGGAGCAAATCCCTTTAGCAATGTATTTGTTGAATCAATTCGACTTTGATAAAATGAAACCAGTTCATCGGCACATATAATAGCAAGACTACCTAAATATCCGCAACCTCTTAACAAATGAATGAATGAAGGAATAAATTGGGTAAACTTCTCCCTACTCCATTGAATATAGGATTTTTTATTTGTGACTGAATTTATAATGATTTTAATCACTTTTCTTTCTTCATCAGAAAAAGATTTTATCATCTCATTATCAATATTCCATTGGTGTTGATGTCTTGTTTGTGTTAAACGAAGACGATCAATATACTGTTTAATAAAATAACCATTAACTTCACTTTCTTGTTTAAACTCAACTTTTGTTTGAGAGTCTTTATTGCTTAAAACTAAATACCCAATTGGTCCAACTAATGAACGTGCAATTCCTAGAATACGTTGGATTGAATAACCAACTTCAGTGTTTTGTATAATGGGTTGAGTCTCAATTTCTTTTTTCTTTTCGTACCACCCTTTTAGTTTATTTAGTGTGTTTTCAGTAACGTATGTTATAAGTGTTTCTTTTTCAATTCGTAACTCCACTAAGTAAACCGTTTCAGTCAAAGTAAAAGAAAATATAACAGAACTTTTTTGTGTTATAAGATTAAACAACTTGATTTGTCTTTCTGCAATAGTTTGAGGATTTTCCGATTTTAACACTCTCACTAAAACAATCATAATGAAAGTGAACTTAGAAGATGATAAAAAGAAAAATAAAAAAGAAAAGAATTTGACTTTTTAATTTCGTTATATAAAACATGAAATTATTAACAAGGAAAATTCCACAGAAGAAGAAAAATGAGTTGAAAAGACAATCTTAAAAAAAATAAAACAATGACAGAAGGTTTAAAAACAATTGGAGCTCATATCAGTGAAGATCCTGAACTCATTCTTGGAAAAACCGCATGGGTAATCCTTGGATATATTGCTATTGGAATTGCTTTAATTGGAGGAATTGCTTTTGGTTTATTAACATATCGTAAGAAGAGAAATGCAGCAAGTTATTCAAATATTTAATTTTTCATTTTTTTTATTTTTATTGTAATATTTTGTTTTACATTTCATTTTGTCAAAAATATGTTATTTCATTCTATTTTTATGTAATTACATTTTTTGTTATTTTTTATAATTTAACTCTTCTGAAAATGAGAAGATGACACTATTTCAACTAGTTTTTGAAGAAATAATCTATTTTATTATGAACAAAATTTGTTTGAATATAAGAAAATAAATATAATTTAAAGATAAAGATTCCATTGAATGATAAAAGTATTTAAAGTTATAATATTTATTTACATTCAATTTAATAAGAATGTAAAAAAAATAGAATTGATACCATTTTCAAACCAATTTTAAAAAAAAAACAATTTTACATGAAAGATTTTAAATATTATAATAATCATTGATGTTATTGAACCAATTACTTTTTATATTAACTGAGAACATGTTCCAAAAGGAGGTGAATTTCTTACAGTTAATTACTGATTTATAAACTATCAAAAGTAAATCAAGTAATTTATTTAAAACTTAATGATATAAATTAGTTTAGGAAATAAGAGAATATTTTTTTAAAAAAAAACAGCTTAGAATAAACAGAATGTGTAAAAATCTATTTAATAAATAATTTTTTTATATCTAATAATACAAAATAAAGAACTAAGAGATTTAGTGATGTTAGTAGTAATGTAATAATACTAATTTATGTAGTAATTAATACTTTACATATTAAATTGTAACAAATATATCACATTGTGTTAAAAATCAAAGTTAAGTTACATTAATATTTTAAAACAATAATAAAAGTTCTTTTAGAAACAAAGAAAGGTTTATCATTTTTAGAATAAATTTACACAGACTTTTATTTTTGTAATGATTTTTTCATAAAACTGAAATACAATCTGATTATTCAACATTTAAATAATCACATTGTTATTACGTTATAACTTACTATTTAAAAAAAAACAAATTTATCAGTAACAATACAACTCAGTGAAAATAAAATAATATCGATTTAAAAAAAATCTTCTTCTTTTTATTAATTAATGGATCTCAAAATTTTTAGTTAATTATGTCAAATGATACAAAAATGAAATTTGTTATTTTCAAAGATAGAGTAACTAAATTTGCTGAGTGGGTTGATAATGATAATCCAAAAAATACAACTAAAAAATATAAAGAATATATAGAAATAGTATTAAGTACAACACCAAAATTTTTTGAAAGGATGTATTGTATGTTTTATCCATTAGATGAACAAGCCAGATGTGTATTAGAAGAAGTAGTTTCATCAATTGATTTATTTAGAATGAAAGAATCTCCTTCATTCACTGAATTAAGAACAGTGGTAAATGAAATAAGACCAGATCTAACTCCACTATTAAATAAATTTCTTAATTATCAAGTAATTTATTGTATTCGGCACATACCACTTATATCTGAATTTCTGAATGAACTAAAACCTGAGGAATATAAAATAATACAAGAAAAATTTCAACATTTCTTAAAGAAAACACAATTTATTGTAAGAACACAAAAATTAGTTGATTTAATAAGTCAAACATATGAAAACTCTCCTAAATTATCAACTAATTTTACATTTTCTGATATTCAAAAGAAATATCAATGGTCTGAACTCAGACTACCTATCACTGAAATTGACTTAAAACATACTAAAACTAATGAAATTGAACAAACTATTGAACCAAACGTAATAAAAGAAACTAATGAAATTGAACAAACCAAAAAACCTAAATTACCTTTATCACTTAGGAAAGAATCTGATATTATTCAACCTAAACAAAGTGTTTCTACAAAGGTATCTTCTATTGATCTAAGTTCTGTTACTCAAATACCTTATAAAGATATATCATCAAATGTTGAACAAATTAAAGAATTAAGATATTTAGATATCGACTGTAAAGAAATAACTACTGACCAAAAAGATGAACAAATTGATTCACTTCTAAAATGTATTAAAGAAAAATTAAATCAAAACATGCAATTTTCTGATACTCAACAAACAGAAGATGTTTTAAAGATATTATCTTCACTTTTTTAGTTTGAAATTTTGATTATTGTTATCTTTTTTTTTGGATGGCTTTACTTTGAATTATATTAAAACATGTTTAGATTCAATCATTGTAGTTTTGACATTAAAATGGTTATAAAACCTTATTGAATTTAAATATTTTATTAAGGAAATGTTATAAACTACTAATGGTGTAAACGTGTATTATAAAAATGAATATAAAATGATTAAAATGTCAGAAGAATCAATAACAATAATGTTTGTAATAAACAACAGTAAGAATGACTTCTATAATTTTTATGAATAGTTTACTTAATTAATAAATTCGAGTAAATAACTTTTTATATTTCCTTTAATGTAAAAAAGATAAATATAATAGTATTGTTAATTAATGTTTTACATTTTCAAAATGTCTTAATCACTAACAATTTAATAATTTTATAATTTAATAGAAAACCCAATAAAAATTATTGTTAAATAAATAACTTCATTCATTTTCACTTTATAAAGTCTAAACTAATAGAAAGAATAATTTCAGTCAGTAAATAAACTTGAAATTAATTTTTTTTTAAATAATTATATTATGAAATACTTCTCTTTGAATATTATTCTCCTTTTTTTATGAAAAAAAAGTAACAAAAATTTATTTTGCTTTTTTTATTTTTTTGTATTTTTCTAAATTCATAGAACTTCTGTGATTTTTTATTTCTCGTAATTTAATGGATGTATCACCAAGTGATGTTTGTTCAGTGAAAATGGTTATAGTAGTAATGATACTTAGTCATAGAATTATGTAAAATATGTTGAAACTGCAAGTCCTGAATTAATCACAAAAATAAAAAAAGCCGAACATCTTCAATTAATGTTTGATGAAGATGAATTAGAAAATGAAATAAGAAATTGGAAAGCATTTGTTCGGTTTATGGAAGAAAACCAAAAAATTCTTCAACAAATTGGTCCTAAAATCAATATGATACCTGGGTTTTGGTATACTGTTCTTCACAATGCTGGACTCTTTGATTATTATGCAACAAATCCAACTGATGTGAAAATCTTACAATTCTTATATTCAATTTCTTGTCATTCGTTTTCTTACCAAATCGTCCCTTATCCAGGTTCAACAAATAAAAAAACCCTCAGGGTAAGTTTTGTCCTTTCATTTACTTTTAAACCAAATCCTTACCTTCTCTATAACACCTTAACTAAGAAGGTCACATACTTAGAAAGACATTTAAATGGGCCACCAACCATTGTTAAGTTTGTTTATTTATTCTTTCAAATTTTTCTAGTACTGATTTATTAGCTCTGGAGTCTTTTTTAATGAAGGACAAGACCCACACAAAATCAATGGAGTTATTGTTGGATCTTTCTTTGATTATTTTGTTCCATATAACATAAAAGACTTTTATGAAGATGAAACAGAAGAAGAAACAATCAATAATATGCTTGAAAAAGATTTTACTGTTACAGAAACTTTGATCAGAACTATATTAAATAATTGCGTTGAATGTTATCAAAATAAAAGAGAGATTATTTTTGATTGATTAAGTCTTCATCTTATGACTTTTCGTTTAGTTATTTCATAATCTAGTTGTTCAATCTTTAAAAGTCTTTTCATTTGAGTTTTCTTTAATAAAGAAAAAGATTTAAACAACCCTCCTCATCTTAAAAATTATAAAATGAACTTCATTTTTGGAGCACTTCTTTTTATTGTGGTATTTGCTTCTTGTGATAATTGTAAGTCATGTGAAGATGAAAAATGTACTGACTGTAAAAGTGGATTTATGATGTTAGGAGATAGTTGTGTTGATGGAAATACTGTTCTAGATCATTGTGAAGAATTTAATACTGACAAGTTTGGATGTAAAAAATGTGCTAGAGGCTATTCTCCTACTCTTCATGGACTTTGTTTAAGTTTGTCTCATACTTATATATTTATATTACACAAAGTACTCAAACATTAATAGAATGTGAGCATTTGTTTGGTCCAGATTGTCTTGACTGTGATCAAACTAGATCAGATAAATGTACACAATGCAGAAATGGAGCTATTGTTACTCGGGAGGGGGCATGTATTTGTTTGTTAATTTATTCTTTAAGATTGAATAAAATTTGAAAAAGAATGATATTTAAGAAATAGATTGCAGAAAATATTTTAGACAATGTGCTGAATGTGATGGAATGACAATGAGGTGTACCAAATGTTCAAATGGAAGAAAACCAGATAATGGCTTTTGTTAAAGGACGGGAAATAATAATTAAAAAGAATTGAATTCACAAAATGATTCAATGTTTCATTTAATACCATTGTAAGGCAAAGAAACAACGAATAGAAAATTTATCAGGACTTACTTTACCTGTAAGAATAGTACTTTCAAAAGGATGAGAAGAAGTAAAGTTATTCGAAAAAGAAGCATCAATGAATGACTGATCATTAAGAGCAATGGTAAAAGCATTTTTTACTGAAAGGATAATATTTTTTGTAGGTGAGATTTGAATAAGAGAATCAGATGAAGGCAATGGTGTGAATTTAAGTGATAAAGGACCTTCATAACCTTTCAATGAGAAAAGAGTAAATTGTGTTGAGCAAGACTCAGAGATAAATGGAGCAAATATACCAAATAAATTACCAGTAGAGTCAAGTATTAAAATCATACAATTTGAAATCGATGAAAGTAATGAAGAAATTCTTTCACATGATAATTCATCAATATCACTTGAATAAATTAAATGATAGTCATTACATTTTGTCCATTTCATTAATGTTAATTGAACAGGACGTAATTTTTCTTTTAATCCCTCTTCAGCAAATTCAAGTAATTCATCCTTACATTCTCCCATTGCCTCTTTTCTGGCATTTGCTGTCATAGATTCATTATTTCTTTTTTCTTCTTCTTCACGTCTTAACCTTTCTTCTTCTTCTTTTTTTTTTCTTTCAAGATTCGTTATTGTTAACACAACAGCAGCAGGTTTTTCTTCAACCTTTTTTTTTGTTAAATACTCTTCTTCTAAAGTAATATCAAACTTAATGTTTTTATTTGTTGTAACATCACAAAAGTCATCCAAATTAATACAAAATTTACCTAGGAAATCATCATCCCCAATTCTGTCCCAATCAAAACACAATATTTCTAATGGCTGGTGATCTGAAACGACAGTAAATGTTTCTTCCCATTTAGGTTCACTAGTGTTGTTGTCATGTTTTGTTTTATATTCTTTCCCATTATTAGTAAATACACAAAATGGATCACACCATCCAATAGGGTCTGCTTTTGGCCAGTTCATTCCTTTAACAAAAGTAATTTCAAACATACTCATTACTTAAAACTAATAAATTAAAATTTAAGTTCTCTTTTATAAGATCTAATACAATCAAATGTATTAAATCATTACAGAAGTTTAAATGACAAAGGGGATTTAAGTAGATAATGAATTGTTAAATAGTTCCAATTCAAGTCTTGTTCATGTACGAAATTATAAGGTGTATGGTATTAATCATTATTAAATTATTAAATTTAATATTCTTTTAAGATTTATTTCTTCATTACAACATACAATGAAAATCCCTTAGAAATAATTATTCACTAACAAAAAGATTTAGATGACATTACAATGAATATGTTCATAATCATTATCAAACAAATAATAGCCATATCACTTTCTTATCTTTTATCATATTTAAAATCACCGTAAATGTTTTCATTAAACATAATTATAATAAAAGTAATTAGTATTATCACAAATACCATAATGCAGGTGGCATATTTAATTAATATTATTATAAGAATAACCAAGATAATTGTAAAGGATATAGGAATAAAAGATATTACATGAAAAGACAAGAAATGAAAGGAAAAAAGAAACAAAGAACAAAACAAAATTGAAGAATGGACAATGAGGATTGAGAAATTGAGAGATAGTGAAAGAGAAAGTAAGACAAAATAATAGACTGAAATAAAAATAATTTCAATAATAATTATAATAAATGAACTAATCAATAAAGAAATGGTAATAATGATGCAAGAACAAGATACTATAATTACAATGGAAGTAATGATAAAAGATTTAATGAATAAGAATATGAAATATCAAATGAAGTAATGTGGAAACAGTTGATGTTAAATACAGAGATATAAAAGTATGTCATGAACAATATATTCATTGAAGAGTGACAAAAATAATCTCAAACAAATAAAATGAGGTAGAAGAATCAATATCTACTGAAAATAAATTTCGTAATTTTTTTATTTATAATAATCACTCGTTTTATAAAAAAAATAAAGTAGTGATGTTTCATAAACATAAAAAACAAAAAAATGTTTGTAATATGTTAATTTTATATAAGAAATATATTTTATTGCATAATGAATAACCAAAATTAAAAGGTTATAATTTTCATATAAACAGTTTTTTATACCTTTAATTAGGTGTAATTTTTCTGATTAATAGTTTGACATTGGACTTGTTTTTTTTATCATGTATATTGATACTAGTTTAATGCGCTATTTAGACTAACCAGAATATAAAAAATACATGAAATAAGTTAGAATATATTTTAGATTTTATTAATAGAATTTACGTGTAGTTATAAAGATTTAATTCAAAAGAACTAATCTAAATCGTATATATATCATTTTCTAACACTTTGATGCAGTATCTGTTATTTTCGAAGTACAATATTTTAATTAGTATAACCATTTTTATTATGTATAAGTCTGTATTTTGAAAAATAAATAAAAATAAATTATCTTAAATAAAAATCGTCTTTTGTTATTGAAATTGTTATAAATAAGAATATGTGTTTAATTATTAACTAATAAGTATAGATTATTTACAACAACGTTTGTTTTAATTATAGTTAATTCTATTTAATATTAATATTAATATTTATATGCATATATTATGTGTTTCTTGTTAATTGATTAGTTAAATGTTCTATTAAACTATTTATTTGTTTTATTGGTTCTTTCTCTAAGTAACACTTGTACTTGTACAAAATTAAAAAATATAAATTATTAAAAATGTAATTCAATTCATTTAGGTTTGTTTAAATTTTTTTCGGCTTAGAAATGTTTTAATTATTATTGTCATATAACGCTTAACATAGTTATTTGCTTATTATAAATATTCAGTGTTTTATATTTATTTAATTTTTATTTGATTCTACTTTCTGTTTATAACACGATACTTATTATTTAGTTGAACTAAATTTTATACTAATTAAATTTTTTATGTTCAATGTCTAAATTATTTGTTTTTATTACTCTGTAGTTGTATGATAATATTAAATAATATTCCTTTTATTATTTTTGTTTTTATTCAATCAAAATATTTATTACTTCTTGTATTAATGAATTATGACTTGACACTGTGTTATTTTATTTTAAATACAAAAAATTATTATACCAATTAATTGTTATTTACAATATTTATAAATAATATAAGTTTAAATTGATTTTTTGAAGTATTGATTCCAATTAAGTGATTTAATAATTTTGTACTATCTGAATGGAATTTTACATGATATATATATCAATTTATTGTAAGAATAATAGAAATATTAACTAAAATCATTCAAACGAGATATTATTGTTTATTTGATTTTCAAATAATAAATGGTTATATATATTCAATATAAATTTATTGAAATAAAGTTATGAAAACAGATATCTATTAAATTAATAATATACTTTACAGAAATAGATATATGACTCAGCAATGAAAACAAACATTAAGTCAACAATGTGTAATACTTCTGTATAAACTTATTAAATAACATATTATCCATTCAATAATTTGCTTAATTAAAATAAACTTTATACTTTTTATACTAATTTTTGTTGAATTTGAATTGTCAAACAAAGTTATAAAAAAATTAAATACATTGTATTGGATAATAAAAGTTCAATAAACACATTTAATTAATCTTTAAATAATCATTTTGTTTTTCATTGATCCATTTTAATTTGTAAATACTAAGTTGAGGTTATATCATTTTTATTAAACACTTTTATGAAACTATTATCAAATTAATGTATTTTTTTATCATTTTAAGTCATTTTACTAAATTTCATTATAACGCACCAAATGATTCTAAAATGTTTAATAATCATTTTATTTGTCTTATAATTATTTTTCAAACTAACATTGTTTGTTTTTGTTTTATTTAAACTTCAATTAACATTCTTTTCAGACATAAACATTATGTTTTTGTTGTTTATATTCTTTCTTCAGTCTTGAGGTTCATTAATATTTTCTTATTTTTTCAGGATTTAGTACATCTTTTGTCATTTATACAAATTTGTTTGTCTAAAACAATAGATACAGTTTTGTTTTTAGTTCTTTTAGTTAAATACTTCTTTCTTATTGAATTAACTTATTTTCTTTCATTCTTGTTCGTTTTTAGTGATTTTGTATTTTATATTAACTTTTTATAAACAATTTAACTTTTCTATATCTTTTTTTAAAATCTAATATTTTTTAAGTTCTTCCTTCTATACTGGTTATTAATTCTAGTCAATTTTATTCTATATTTGAATTACTTATTGACTAATTTGAAAGTTATTTCTTTTTTATGGTTTAAGCTATTTTTTGATTCGAAGATGATATGTTAAACACACGAATCCTAAAATAAATGAATGCTTCAAATTTCCAGTTATAGTTTTGTTGTAGTTTTGTACTTAGTTAGAAAATATATTACTCAATAAGGAAAAAATGATAATTATTTATGATAAGAGAATATCTTTATGATAATAAAAGAGTACGTATTTGTAAAGGTGTTAGTATTCTTTATTTATTAAGATGAAGGTGTTTTTGTTAATATTGATATTATCAAAGAAAAAAAATGATATGAATATAATAAATGAAATTAGTCATAAAAGAATATAGTGATAAATGTATATTCTTTTATCATAAAATAAGAAAATAAAGAATGATGAAATTTAATACATATTAAATCAGAAATGAGCATAAATGAAGAATAATTAAGTTAATACAGTTTGAAATGACTTTAATTCAATGTAAATAAATGAATGAGGAATAGAAACCTATATTTTTTCAATAAGTAAAAGCGAATGAATAAATGAAGCGGCAATGAATAAACATTAAATCACGAAGATATTATTAGTCTCTAGTGAGGAAGGAACAATAAAAAAATAGAAGTAATAACATTTAATTACCTACCTTTTATTTTTTCTATTATTAGGTTTTAGTATATTTATTTTCGTTCTTATGAATGTATTTAGAAACTTGGTGATACGGTTTTATCAATATTATTTAAAATTCTTATAATGAATAACAAATTTATATAAAGAAATGAAAAATAAAAAAAGAAATATTCTATAAATTGAAACTAATGATAAACCAAAAAGACTCAACTCCAAAATATAACAAAATAAATAACAATTCATATTAAAACAAATACTTAATAAAATAATTATTATTTAACTTTTCTTCTCTCTTTTTATTTGTGTTTTAAATAATTATAGTTTTTGTAACCCCTATTATGTTTCGAGATAAGTTAATTGAAGGAAAATACATTAAGACTCAAAAACAATTGTAAATGAATATGTTTATCATTGCAATTTCAACAGAAATTAATACCTACTAATAAACATATTTATAACCTTTTCTTTTAAAAACTGAGAGAAAACAAATAAAAAGAGAATAAGCACAATACTAAAATACCTATAAGTCTATATTATAAAACTATAAGTGTGAGGATATTGTGGTTGAACCACAAAAATTGTGTTGATAATATAATATCATATAAAATCAATTTATATAATAAAATTATTCTTCAGCATGAAAGGCTTATACTTTTTAGTATATTTCACTTTTTTATTTGAATTAAGTTTTAGAACGAAGGTGGCACGTCTGAAACACCAAACAAATACTAGTACAAT